AAATGTTGACATGTAGATTTTGTTAAACTTTACATGGTCTTTGACTGGATTTTCCTTTTCTTTGATCAGATTAGCGTGAAATAAGGGATGGATTGTCCTGGGATCACTTTTTGGTGTAAATATCCAGTTCCCCAGATATCATTCAGATTTTGAGCTGTGGTTATTTTACGTCAGGGGAAATTACCAATGTGGTGTCTACCTGCCTCAAAAAGCAAACATTTATCTGTAACTGATCTCACCCACTTTCTGTAAACAAGCCAACGGGCCAACTAAGTAACCAACAAATATTGTTAAATTATTCTATAAAGTCCAGAACCCTATGATGTGTGCATGTTGTAAGTCCAAAGGACAATGGTACTGTACTGTTGGGGCATAGCTAGTAGCATCACACACAACACAATCCATTGATTGGGGGAAAAGAAGACGTCACTGCTTGCGACAATCACAAGATGTAATAAAACAAGTTTGTTGTCACACTACTTTAATGAGGCAACATTAGAAATGCTCTCGAGTAAGGCGACCACAAAATACACAGAACCACGTCAACAAACAGTAATTTCTTAACATATAGATATACCACAAAAATAAATGAAAAATATCAGTTTAGATTTTCAAAGAATCATTTTGCAGTGTGAGTTTAGCTATAAAAAAACTTGACTTTATTTTTTGTAATATCACACATCTTTATCAGGGATTTCCACAAATCTATGTATGAAAACCAGAATTGATCAATTTACAAAAACTTTCAAAATGCTTGAAAGTCTTATGTCTTGTGAGATATTTTGACATCATTTTATAGGCCAGATTTTGGATACATTTCTACACTGAAAAAGTAATATTACTTTTCTCATTGCTTAAGTTTAGATAAGCTTGAACTTTTTTTTTTGTTTAGTTTGGTGTCAATTCTTCATGCTACTCTAACTTCTGTAGCAAACTCATCTTCTAAAATAGCAACCAGTAAGCCAGAAGCTGTGGTGGTGTTTTTTTTTTTTTTTTTATGATTAGTGGTCAGAAATCAGATATAAGAAGAAACTTTTGGCTGCAGGCTGCTAGGCCTGGTCCACTGTGACTCTGAGTCCCACTGTTTCACAGTGTGATAATTGTCTAATATGATGTCATCATGCGTGACATTTTCACTCAGCAAAAATGTGTGACATTATCTCCTTGGCTGCTGGTGCAGTTGGTAGCACTGCTGCCCTGCAGAAAGAAGGTTTTGACTTTCTGTATGGAATTGTCATGTTTTCACTCAGTATGCATGGCTCTTTCCTGCTTCTGGCTTCCTCAAAGCACGGCTCAAAAGCATGGCTGTTAGGTTGGTCTCTATAAAATGCTCTGACAAGGAAGTGTGTGAGCATGGTTATTTCTCCTGTTCAGTGAAATTAATGAATAGAATGTATTTTCGTATTGAACAATTGTCTATTGCGATATATTTATTGCTCAGCTTATTTGGAATTTTTTGTTCAATGAAGCTCATGCGTGGATATTGGTGTAAATCTTTTGAATGCCTTAACTAAATCCAAAAGGTTGGATAAGGTTAAAAGACTAAAGCTAAAGTGCCACAGTATATTTGTATGTGTTGCAAACTAATCAGCTAATCTGAATTGTTTCCATCATGTACAGACCAGCAATGAATTTTTAGAAGACAAAATTAAATATCTCAGTTCATTCGAGTCCATGAAAGCCACAGGTTCGAGGTTTGCCATTGCTTAATGTCGCTGCAAAAAACATCACCGGAGCAACGACCACAGATCAGGAGCGCTCATGGTCCGCCCAGCTTCTCACATTCCAACCCACATTTACAGCCACAACAGTGAGGAACAGACCGTAATGGAGATATTCCAAACTGGAGCAGAATCCAACCACTTAGTGACACTCAGAGAAGCAGCTTTGGTTCCATACAACTGGAGAAAACTGTTTAAAGCAGAACTTTGTCTGGCATCCCACTAGAGGACCGTTTTATCCTCGGAACACTATTACAGAATATTTTTGTGGTTTTGAAACTGGAACTTTTTAAGGTTTAGTATGAGTCATGGGGGTGAAATCTGAAACCGAAGGTCAACATTTTCATAGACTAAGCAAATAAACTCAAAGTTTCAGATCAATCCTAATACATCCTAATATTGTGTTTAAACTGTGCCCTTGCTGTAAAGCATTTTCATTCTCTATTTTTATTTTATTAATTTTGCATTCTATCTTTGCGTGAACCTACTTGCTTTGATTACCTGGCGCTTTGCTCCTGTTGCACCAGAATTTCCTATAATGATGCAGTTTTAATCCTATTTTATAACAGATTCATATAGCGGTTTCCATTGAATAAAGCCCTAAAACCTTTTTGTCAAGCGGGCTGAATCAGATAAATTGGAATTACAACTTAATTTGCTTAAATTTCAGCCTTTGCTTTGTTTAGCTGAATGTGAAGAGAACTGGTGTGACTCAACTAATTGATCACATGAGTTTAAACTGAACCATTTTTAGCTTTAAAAGGGCCCTGAGCTATAACTTGCTGTTATGATTTGGTGCTTTATACGTGAAAAGCTAAATATCTTACCTGTACATTTAATGCCATTAAACATCCAGTCATTTACTTCGGATTCAACTTTGTTGTTAAAATACAGAAAATGATGCATTCTGACTTCAATGAGTCTCTGTTATTGGTCAGTTGGGAAGCTGCACCACCAAGCAGAACTCTGCAGTTATTTATTTTGATGTCCATCTGAAGGACATCATTGCTCTGATTTATTACTGTTACTAAGTCAGACCTACTCAGACTTCCATGTAACATCAGCATGCTGATTGAAACATAACAAAGGCGTGTTCAGTTTATGTCTGATTAATAACGAGGTGTATACATGAGTGAAGGGGAGTATAGCTGAAATAGTCAGAACGTGTGTGCAGACATGTAATAAGCAGACTGTGCGGCTGGTCTCAGGTAGGCAGTAGAGGAAAAACACTGTCCTGTTGGATGAGTCAGCTATTGAATTGAGCTGACCAGGCCATATCCGGGTCCCTTCCTGACAGGAAACTTCTCTGAATCCCAGATATCCAGATATCCAAAAACAGACATCGTTGGGAACACACCCAGACTTCCAGCATTAGAAAAGTACTGTCTCGCTCGGGAGGTGGAAAAACACAAGCCGCAATGCAGGAGTAGTTTTTTTTTTTCCTCTTCTTCTTTTCTAAGGGGAATACATCATTACAAAAAAAATGACATCACAGAAAGTACTAAGTAAGTTGAAAATAAACGGTGAGTCAAAGTGAAATCACTGAAAAGTTCCGGAGTTGGGAACTAGCAGTAGTTCTTAAAGCATTGAGGATAAATATAGGAGAGACCCCTGCTGCGGCTGACAGGCGGCTACTTTTCTCTGCGCTGTTTCCCCCCCCTGCACCACATGCCCGAGGAGAAAACTAACGGTGACGCCGTTCAACTACGTACTCCACCGACCACAAACACTTCAGCAGCTGAGGGCGACTTTCTGGGGTGGGAAAATGATAGTCGTCCGGCGGTTGAAACGCTTACCTTTTCTCTGGGGACGAGCTTCGCTTCAGCACGGTGTGTTCCTCGCGCGGTTCGGGCTCCCTCTATCCCCGCTGACCAATGAGCCTCCCTGGATCCCCCGGTCCAGACTGAGCGCGCGGGCATGGACCGTCAGCTGCAGGGGCGTGGACTTCAAAAGAACCGAGCTCCGGTTACAGTTTATGATGCACGTACCGCTCAGATGGATGGGCGGGGATACAATCTAGCTTAATAATAATAGTAATAATAACAACAACAACAACAACAACAATAATAATAATAATAATAATAATAATAATAATAATAATAATAATAATAATAATTGATTAATGCGTAAAATAGAAGTACGTATTTAAATCAGGGGCCATAAGTAGGTGTTTCTGTTACTTTTTTATTTACAGACCAAAAAAAATAATAATAATCTGTGAAGTGTGGCATGCAAATTAATTCAGCTCCCTTTACTTTGACACTTTTGAATATAATGCATTCCAACCAGAGCTGCCTTTGCAGGATGTCAACATATTAGTAAACAGAGCTCAGCTGCTTCAAGGTAAGTATGTTGTGGAATCAGCCTCTGCAACAATAATGAAGAAAATTATATAACTTACAGCACAATTTCATTTCTTTTGGGATAAATAATGTATATTTCAATTAAATTTAACTGAATAAACCGACCCGTATTATCCCACGGTGGAGAATAATACTATTTTTGCTATTTTCTATTAGAATAGAAATTCTAATATTTTCTATAAGAATAGAAAATAGCAAGAGCATGCAAATTCATGCAAAGGTAAATCAATGTGAAAATAAGAGGCTGTACCAGAAGGGTTAAACATATACTATGTTCAGCTGCGTTGTTTGACATTGTCTGAATTTTAAACAAGCATTGAACAACTGGGATGTTATTAATTACAGCACAAGAGTAGAGCTGATGTTACTAAGTTAAGTCTCAACACAAATTCATTGTGATAGGTTTAAGTTTTCGTCGTAGAGTCTTTCCGAGCATACACGAAGTGCCCGTCAGTGTTCGTGGCAGTGTTGCCTTCAGGGACGACACATAAAGAATCACTTAGACTCCTGGAGAACGTCATATAAATACCTCTTTTCATAAAAGTGTTCACCGCTCTTACAGTTACTAACATGTATGATAGCTTTCATTCTCGGATCTATTTTACGGATCACTATGTCAGAAATAGGTACAATATTGCATTTAGAATTGAAAAGACGAGGAAAAAACGCGACCTATAATATTTCACGGTGTCATTTAATGGTCAACACGACTGTCTTTCTATTTGCTTTACAAACTTACCGGTAATTTTTTTTTTTTTTTCGTGAGTCCATGTCTCACGATTACTTCGCCCCTGTAAGCGCTATTTCCGATGTTTACAAACGCATCATTCTCTCTTTCAGAAGTGTCGACCTGCCGGAAACACTGGAGCTCAGTTTGAGCAGCACAGCCACAGTAAGTACGGTGAATTGTTGCTGCTGCTGCTGCTTTGCTAGCTTAAGCTCCGTCAGAGCGTGGAACACGTATCTTACGGGCTCGCTGCTGTTAGAGGCATTTATCACAGAGTGGCATAGCGAGCAGAGGTAAGATCCTGCAGCCATAACATTGACTACCATTAGCCAGTGCTAACTAGCTTTCCGACTGGCTTTCCAGCAGCAGCTGTCTGTGGCAAAGACTCGGCCAGAGACGGAAAACGTCGCTGTGCTGCAAACATGTTGGTAAAGACCTCCACGGAGGTTTTTATCTATGTGAGCCTGATGTTTTATTTCAGTGCACCTGATTTGACACTTTACCCTTATTTCATGACCCCCGACCTCCATGTTACAACGCACATTGGCGCCACCTAGTGTTTTAAAATTTAACAACAGTTGATTAGACCCGCAAGCCTTCATGTTTCAACTGCTACACATTTTTTAGTACAAAAAACATAAATTTATCCACAAATGAATGATTGACTTCATCTATATGCAATTTTTGTGCTCCACAAATACCACATTTTCATAAAAATGCATGAAATGTATAATTAAAACAACTCACCAAAAAGCTCTAACTTACACTTTACATCATATTTTGCTGTGTATGTTCAGAAATTTGATAAGTTGCCTTCAGGCTACTTTTTTTGTTATTTAATTATGGAATGAAACTGAAATTTCATTCCATAAAAGCTACAAATTCAAAGTAGCAGGTTATTATAATTAAAATTTCCACAACATTTAACATGACGCCTATTCTTTACAGAGTTGTTGAAAACAAAAATATCTGTTACAATCTGTACAAAACTAAGAAGAAACGTTGCAACAACTTAGTTCAGGGTTTCCCCCAGTGTATTGTAAGCCTGGCGGGCCACCAGGCTTTACCTGTGCCCCCACCAGGATAAGTGTTATTTATTTGTCTTTCTAAAATTTTTTGCATTTTTTCAAGACTTTATTGTTGGGGTCTAGATATTAATCTTCCAGTTTTCCAATCACAAATAATTATGATGTGATATTTTCAAATTTCCTGTCAACTTTAAACAGTTTTTAACTCAAAAACATGACAGACAGCTGAATGAATGACTGCCCTAGCACCCAACCACCAGGCTTAGCAAGTTTTCTGGGGGAAACCTTGTAGTTATCCAAGTATGTCTTGTTTTAATGTTCTTGTCCCGTATTTTCTTGAATTATTGGAGACGGCATTTGTTGAGTCATTTTTCATGAATAATATTTTGAGTTATTTTCTGTTTCCTTCTTCAGACTGATACCTTTCTTATTTGTCATGTTTCTAAATCTGTGCAACCTCTCTGCAATTATTCAGATTTTAAATATGGTGTAGTTTTGCAACCAGGTTGATTAAAGTTTTTGTTTGTTTTCCCATTCATTGTGAAATGTGAAAAAATAAGTTAAAAAAAAAGTTTTGAAATATCTAATCAGAACCTGACATTTTAGCAGAGTCTCAAAAAGAAGTCCTCATTTTTCCAGCTTTGTGTTGAGCTTTTGTTCTCTGTTCCTCCAGGATGAGCTTCACACGGCGGATCTTGAATGCCGTCAGGTTCACATGTCATTCGTCTCCCACAAACTGCCGGAGGTTTTGTACTTCACAGGTAGAAAACACTTCACATAGCTTCACAGAGCCAGCGCACGATTGGTGTTTGACATGGAATAAACTCTCCTCCAAGCTGTAGGCATAGCCGACTCCTACAGTTGATGACTAACCCACTTTGAGCAGCTCTCTGAGTGCTCTCTGCCCTGGCTAAGAGGCTCTACGTGGAATGCTGCAAACATTAATGTAGTTAATTAGCACTTCAAGCAGTGAGATGCAGTGTGTTCCTCCTTTACAGTGTGTAATGGCGTCAAGGCACACTCCTGCTAAGAGAATTGAAGGACTGGATAAAAATGTTTGGTAAGTGAAGAAGAATTAAAGCATTTAAGCAACTTTACATGCACTATTTACTGTGTTTATATTGTAAAAGGCATGTCTAGAGCTTATTTTGGGATACGTTGACTAGGCCTGTCGCGACAAACAATAAATCAATTAATTGCACAATAAGTTAAAACCATCGACCTCATTTTAATTATCGGCTTTATCGTTTCTTCTGGCCTTTTTCTCTTTCTGGTGATGACACTGAATTAAAAAAAGGCTTCTCCACTGACCCTCCCTTCCTCATTTCCTGAGTGTAATGCCCAGTGCACACTGCACAATCTTAGAGCTGTCAGTCGATTGTCGGCCCATTTTCAAAATTTGAGAGACCACACATTAGCCGACTGAAATCTTAGGTATAATGGTTCGATTGTGCTGTGTGGTATCCAACAATGGGCACAAAATAAAAATAATGACTGCAAGTCCAGTTGTTTTTGATTGTTTTGTTTATTTTGCTTATCAGTTCCAGTGTTAGGTGTTGTTTTCAAAATAAAGTGTATCCACCTTTGGCAGGAAATGGCATGCATCATGACCTCTTTTCCATTGAATCAGTGTAAAAAGGTCTTCAAACAATATTATCCTTTATTGCAATCATTTTTGAGACAATCTCTCTGCAAAATTTGTTATTGGGACAGGCCTAACGTTGACCCGTTTGGTTTTGACTTAAGTTTAAAATCTTTGTTTTCTAAAGCCCTGCCGGCTGATGCCTGATTATTTATGCAAACTCCTGTCTCCTTCTTCCAGTTTGTGACCTTTTAGTAGAGGTGGTGCCTTTTCTGATGCTGCTTCAGCTCTGAAGAAGACTGTCACTGAAAGTCTAAAGTTCCTCATCCTCAGATTTATTCATGTGCTTGGTTTTTACCTGGATTTGGTGATTTTTAAATACTTGCATCACGAAACAATACATACATGCCATCCATTGGATGTCAAACAATTAAAAATGGTTATGCAAATGTTATTAAAACAAAAAAAAAATAACAGAGTCAATGAATACATTTTGAAGCATCAGTATTTCGCAGTTTTTTACTCTTAAATCAGAGTCCTAAATGCATATCAGCTCTGTTCTGTTTGGTGACAGTTCACCCTTTCTCCACAGGGTGGCGTTCACGTCATTAGCAGCCGACCCATCCGTCGTCAACCTCGGCCAGGGCTTTCCAGACATCCCCCCGCCTTCTTACGTCAAGGAGGCTTTGGCGAAGGCCGCGTCAGTGGACCGCATGAACCAGTACACCAGAGGCTTTGTAGGTTTGAAGAACTCCTCAATTCCTGGTGGTGGTAACAGAGAAGCTCACATGTAAAAAATAAAAACAACGGAGAGGCAAAGACGCCTCAAAAAGTGTTAGACTGTGTAGAAAATAAGGTCTTCAAACTCTGCCGACGTTTCTGTCGGGGAAAAGTCTGAGATACCCACAATCATCTTGATTCCATTCTGTGGCTTGAGGTGGTTGATGCTACTGCTAACTTGCTGCTGATATACTTCTAGCATTGTTTGCATCTATTTTGGTGCAAGTTTATCTCCAGTATGCTGGATGAGATTTGTTTTCACCTCGGTCTCACTTGAGCTGCCAACACGTGTGAGGTTAAGAGAAAAAAAAACTGTCTAGTGCCATATGCAGTATGAGAAGCACAAAGCCGCTGCCAAGATCCACAAACAGACCACAGAAATGCTCTAGAATTCTCTATGCCTTATCGAATAAGGCATAGGAAATACCTTATGCGTTTCCATTCTCTAAATATGGAGAATAGAGAATGGAGATCCCCCAACCATTCTCCATATTTAGTTTTTTCAGTCTTCAATTTCATTCCAGGTGGCATTAACAAGCCTTAAATTTGATTTGTTAAAAGCTGCGGGTACACTGATCTTGCAGGCAGGACATATTTTATGATAAAACTCCTTACTCTTTGTGTTACAAGTTATTGATATCAATAGAGCCAATATCAACTGTCTTATATTCTCCTCTCCACTGATTCAACAGGGTCACCCATCCTTAGTGAAGGCCCTTTCTCAGGTGTATGGGAAGGTTTATGGTCGCCAGGTTGACCCTCTTAAAGAAATCCTGGTCACAGTCGGAGGTTATGGTTCCTTATTTAGCACCATGCAGGGCCTGGTGGATGAAGGAGATGAGGTGAGCTTCCATATGTTCATTTATAACCATATAAATGAACATATTTATATGTTCATGTATTGTACTGTATCTACAATACAGTAGATTTATTCATCATCTTGTTTTTCCACAGGTGATAATAGTGGAACCTTTCTTTGATTGCTACGTTCCAATGGTCAGAATGGCCGGTGCCAAGCCTGTGTTGATCCCATTGCGGCCTGTAAGTTTCATCTGGAAGTCGATGCCAGAAACTGTTGAAAGTTAGAAATTGTTCTCTTCTCTGTCCCACCATACAGGAATTTAAAATTTAGCTCTGGGGACTGATAACCCTGGTAGATTTTGGGTCAGATAAACATATCTATGTTGATTTTGATCATGTTTTTGAGAATTATTCCACTAATCTCTGGGTGTTTGGACGTTGTCGGGACACGTTGTGCACTTCACATGTTTCAAAGACCTTTTGGAAGAGAAATGAGGTTCACAGCATCTCTGGAGGAGGGAACCAGTTCTATGTTCTGTGACAGTCCTGGTGTCTCATTTATAAAACATTGTGTAAGTTCTATACTAAAAGGGTTCATAAGCCAAAAAGTTGAAAACAAAGATGAAACTCAGATTTATCCTGAGCCCTTTTCTATATAAAGTTTGGGGCAGTGTGTTGTTATTTTTGTCCCACTGCTTCTCTTGCACCACAGTTTTTTGGCAGACATGCTTTTTTATTTGTTTTGCAAAGTTTGCAAATATTCATTGATAAATGCATAACTGATCCATATCATTCATTGGGATTGTTGTTTGGATTCATAATGTAAGTTTTTCTCTGCCATATTGCAGAAATCTGGAAGGAAGTCGGTCTCAAGTGGCGACTGGTATCTCGACCCAGATGAGCTCTCTGCCAAGTTCAACTCCAAGACAAAAGCAATCATCATCAATACGCCCAACAATCCTATAGGGAAGGTGAGTACACGCATGGACCACCACTTACTGGACTGGTGGTACTTTTTGCGCCAACGGTACTTTTTCTTCCGCAGGTTTTTACCAGAGGCGAGCTGCAGGTGATCGCAGACCTCTGCATTAAACACGACGCGCTGTGCTTCAGCGACGAGGTTTACGAGTGGCTCGTCTATAAGGGACACCAGCACGTCAAGATTGGTGCGTTTCCACTTTGGTTCACTTGCTGACAGAAGTTAGGAAAAGTCATTGGATGTCTGCTTTATAATACAAGTAAGTAATAATCTGGAACAGGGTTGTCTCTTTGCAGCCACTCTGCCTGGAATGTGGGACAGAACGATAACCATCGGCAGTGCAGGGAAGACCTTTAGTGTTACTGGCTGGAAGGTGAGGAAACACTCCCTCAAGAGTTCAGCTATCAAGTGAGCTTTTCTTTCACGTTGTGCACCGTTTACCTGTTTGTTCCAGCTGGGTTGGTCTGTAGGACCTGAGCACTTGATAAAACACCTGCAGACCGTCATGCAGAACACTCTGTACACCTGCCCTACACCTCTACAGGTACGTCACACACTGCCAATTACAAGAACTCATGGCTCCTGAATTGTGTAATATTTAGTCAGTTACAACAACAAACCTTAATGTTTTTTTATGAGAACTTTAGTGGTTGACCGTCACACGGTGGTGCAAAGTCTCAAAGTGGAAGAAAAAGGAAGCTTTGTTTTCCAGAAGCAAATCTTTGTTGTTTTTGTTGACCTAGTTGGTGAATGCAAAAACTTTCACTTTGGTTCCAGTTTGCTCTCAATGTACTAACATTTTATATTTAAGCATATAAAATGTGGTGGAAAAGTTAGATATTTATTGTAAAAATATGTTTCACGGAAGAAGATGAAGTTGAATTAGGGTTAATAAACATGACTCAGAGCTGATGGGAGAATGGTGGGCACATTTCCTCTAATAGTGAAGCTAATTTTTTAGCGTTTTACTAACTCTGAAAATATTTAGTGGACTTAGCTTCCAACGCAGAATTTTTTCCGGATACATTCTAAAGCACAAATTTATTCGGCTGTTAAGAAAACGTTCAGTTGAATACATTTTGACATCTATGTTGAAGTTTTTGTTATTGACTGTTAAAAATGTTTCAAGCAGTCAGACATTTATATTCATGCTCCTATTTGGAAGTGGATGAAGACTGTTTGTGCAGTTCAGTTTCCTCTCCTGAAGTTGTCTTATTTTCATTGAGCAAGTGGCAAGTAAACAAGCAAGCATATGAGGTACATGCATTACATAAAAGATCAGTCAGAGGTGATACCTAAATGAATATGCAAAACATAATATATGAATTATTTTGAGAGAATTTTTGTGGGTGCAACAAAATTGTTTATTCTGTTCTCAGAAGGCATCGCTGTAGAACCATAGCGTGTACATCTTCCTTCATCAGCCTTTATTGTCATTGTATAGAAACGCAACCAAATAGTGGTACTGACAAAAAGAGCAACATAACACACGGGTAGCCAGGTGCCTGAGGCTGCAGCCATCATGGCTCTGTCATTACACGAGAAAAACAACATGAGGGTGGAAAATGATCTCTATGGGACACAGTGTGGGGTTTCAAGATGACGACCTGTGTGCTGTCTGACTGAAGCCATGCTGTGGTCAACTGGACAAAATCGGCTACAGATTTAGCAAAACCCAACAACTAAAAGCTGAAGACAGGAGGGAAAGGTCTGTTCAAAGAATCACTTCCTGAAGTTTAAATCCAACATATAGCTGTGCAATGCCAAGTTTGACCCTGTTGTGGGCATTATCAAGCACTTTATGTCATTGACACATGGTGCTAATCAAAATGGTTGACATTTTTAGCATTAGCTTCCACTTTGTATCATGTTGGTATAGCATTTTAACTTTATCAGATTTAATATTTCTGATTCGTACTTAACCGTCACTCAATCAAACCTTTTAGCTAGCAATGGCTACCACTGGCTCTGACCTACTTGCCTCTCTGCTCTCCAGAGCAGTTTTGTTCTCAATTGAACAAAAAGTCCTAATAAGAAAAATGAAAGCTTGTGGATGTAATTTGACTAAATGTGAAATAACATCCAGACTTTAGAAGGACCTGATAGTTTTTCCGTGCTGCCGTTCAGGAGGCAGTGGCTCAGGGTTTGCTGCTGAACTACAAGCTGATGGGTCAGCCCGACTGTTACTTCTCCTCACTGGCTGAGGAACTGGAGGGGAAGAGGGACCGCCTGGCCGCCATCCTGCAGGAGGCCGGGATGACTCCTGTCATCCCAGAGGGAGGCTACTTCATGCTGGTAGACGTCACGCCTCTCAGTGAGTTACTGACCAAACTGACTCCATCATCAGTCCCCACAATAACATGAAGCCAGACGTCCTCGTCACAGACTACAACTCGACAGGGTTTCCTCGTTCGTACTTCACTGAGCAACGTTTCCAACCCTGAATTGGATTTATTTTAGATCAGGACCTGTCCCACATGGCTGACGATGAAGCCTATGACTACAAGTTTGTTAAGTGGATGATTAAAGAAAAGGTAAGAATAGTTATGAGTGAGATTACTTATGCTGGAAATTGCCATAAATCAAAGTCCTGACCATGGTTTCTTACAGAAATTGGCTGCTATTCCTGTCACAGCGTTTGTCGGAGAGGAGTCCAAGGAGCAGTTTGAGAAATATATTCGCCTGTGCTTCATAAAGGTAGACTGTAAAATGTCCATGGAGCAGAATGTGCCACTGTGCATTTCTGTCTGGTTTGCTACCGTGGAGACAAATTTTATCATGTTTTAAAATGAGAAATTCAGTTCTGTGGATCAATACAAGGATTAGATCTAGACTGCTGGATCTTTAAAAATCTGAAGGAAAAATATAAAATGTGTGACTTTCTGAATGTGACTGGTCAGTGTTATTACACAGAGCAGTAGAAAGTTTTCCAACCAGAGATTTGTGTTCTCTTTGTTTTAAAGGAAGACAGCACTCTGGAAGCAGCAGGCGCCATCTTAAAAAACTGGAGGAAAGTTTAGCAGGATGTTGAGTTTGAACAAATGGAAATTAATCAAAAATAAGAAGATTTTTATAGAGACAGCATAATGTGTTATGTTTTTTTCCCTCACCTGCTTTTACCAAGAAGCTCCTCCTCAGAGCTGAACTTCTGCCTCACAAAGCAGAATTTACTTGGGAAATTGCTTATTTTTTGTTTTGAGTGCCTAGAAAGAGCAGGAGCTTCTTAAAGAGACAGAGCCCCAAATTCAAGGTGACAAATTGCAAAGTAAATTTTTTTAAGGTACATTTTACACACACACATTCATATGTATATGTATGTATGCATTTTTCTAACAACTGAAGGTAACATAGTTTCTTAATTCTGCTGTAAAGTGACACTACATGTCTGGAAAATGCATAATACTGACACTTAAATGCCCTGGAATGCAAATACAAATGTAGTAAAAATCTCCTGTTTTGAAATGTTGCATGTCATTTATTTACCAAAAATGTAAAGAAAAAGAATTGTATTAAAGAACCACAAGTAATTCTGAAGAAGCATCCAGAACCCTGTTACCATTTTAGCATTTTTGTCACCTTCATGTTGCTTCAACCGAATTGCTATATTATGAAAAAATACTTTAACTTACTACAATGATGTTATAATACTGTCTGTTTTTATTTTTAATTCATTTTAGTTTCACTGTGATTACTGTCAGACCTGTTGGGTTATACATATGTATATGTTTATATACTATGGGACAAGCCAACAGTTTTGAACATCTCTTGGCTTTTCGTTGAAAAATCATTGTCCTGAGAGACATCTTTGTCCGAGTCCTTCCCATGCTGCAAGTTGGATTCTTAAATATCTTTCTCTGAGCAGTTTTACTGCAAGCTACAGAGCTTGTTTTCCACTGACATTTGACTTGAAGGTATGAAAATTGCTCATTTTAGAGGCACAGTAAACCTTCAACATGAACCAGTAGGAAGCTCTGCTTTACAAGGCATGTGGCCATTTAAAAGTTGGCTGCTAAAAAGAAAAATGTACATTATCCCAAAGGGTTAAAAATAGTTTAAGGATTGGTGTGGAAAACGGCAACAAGATTTTAAAAGATAGTGGTGCATAAAATGTTGAAAGGGCTTAAGGTGAAGATAAAATTAGAATTCTAAATATCCTAACCAAAAGCTAGAAGTGGAGGCATAATTATTTAAAACATTCGTAAGGGCTTCAAAACCCGGTTGGTGGGAAGATAACTGAAAGAAAGTTGAAATAAAAACCACTGGTTTAGTTAAACAGGAGAAGTAGCCAATAAAAAAGCTAATTATGCAAATAACTATATAAATAAACCAAACTGGGAAATGTATTGTAAAGCAAAATCCTGTTTTCATAAAATTAAGTCGAAACATGTCTGAAGTTGGAGTTGGTGCAAAGTCAACTGCTGTGTTTAACCACTAGAGGGAGACAAAGTACACAGGACTGACGCACAGTCCTGTGTACTTTGTACGAGGGTTTGTTTTGATGAAATTCTGCTGCAATAATAGTTTGAAAACAACAGAACAAAACCCATTTAGTGACTTAAAAACAAACTGCAAAATCTACTTTTGCATTTATTTTCCTGTTTGCTGCTGTTGGATGGAAAAACGGGACAGAAGCATCAGGGAGACTCTTAATAACAAACACAAACTCATTGATTACAGCAGAAGATGCTCCAAATTTACACTAGAACTAAGATGATGTAGATTTAACAAATTATATGTCGTTTAAAATTACATTGCCAAAAGAATGTATCCCTCAACTTGTCATGTTACGGTCAAAAATGATTTGACTACAACTTTATGTATCAGTGAAACCAAAGTAGTGCATAATAGTGAAGAGAAAGAAAATAAAGATTTTACAAATACATTTCTGAAAAGTGTGGCATGTGCTTGTGTTCAGGCTTAAAAGTTCATTATTTGGACAACCTTTGCCACCAATTACAGCAGCAAGTGACATTCCATGTCCCAGAGCCACTTTCTGCAACTGAGGATCGGACCGTGAGGGCCCCGTTCCTCGGCCACCACCCATCACACACTGCAACCGACTCCTTTGGCCCGTCTTTCAGGTGGTGAGCCCATTGAAAAGGGGATCCATGCTTCCTCTTCGGGCTCCATGGGTAAAAGCCCGGCCACCAGGCGCTCGACAATGTGCCCCACCTCCAGGCCTGGCTCCAGAGCAGGCCCCGATGACCCGCGTTTGGGCGAGGGAACACTAAGCCCATTGTTATAACCTTGGGTGACCCTACCAGGCGCATAAAGCCCCAGACAGCATAGCTTCTTGAATCACTGGGACACTCAAAGCCCTCTACCACAATAAGATGGCAGCCCATGGAGAGGGCTTTCACCCTAGGTTTTCTACATAGGGTGGTAGATAGGGAGAGCTCAGTAATCCGGGAGGGACTCGGAGTGGAACCGCTGCTCCTCCACGTTGAGAGGAGCCAGTCGAGATGGCTCCTGTTCTGGGCACCTGGAGGAGACCCCAGGGAAGACCCAGGACACGCTGGTGGACTATGTTTCTCGGCTGGCCTGGGAACACCTTGGGATTCCTCCAGAGGAGCTAGAACAAATGGTTGGGGAGAGGGAAGACTGGGCCTCCCTTCTTAAGCTGACACCCCCACGACCCGACCCCAGATAATCAGAAGAAAATGGATGGAAGTATACAGCAGCAGTCTCTCGTCTTTTGCCGCCGGTAATACGGCTTCCTCTGCAGTTGTCCTATTTTTCGTCTATGATCCCAACAATTCTGACCAGCTGCCCTTTCTCTGCTGAAATAAGCAACCCCACGGCATGATGTTGCCACCACCATGGTTTGCTGCAGATGGTGTGTAGCATTTAGCATGTAGGGCAAAACATATTCTCCATGTTTTGTCGCACAGTACAATGAGAGAATTGCTTTCATCTTGTTTCTTCTTCTTAAAGCTGCAATATGTAAGTTTTATCAAAAATATATATATATATATATGTTGGTTTTTTTTTTACATATTTGTTGAAAGTGTGATGTGACAGTATGAAATGAGGCAGATAATCTGAAAAATTGAGCTCCTCCTCCTTCCCCCACTGCTAACTAGAAACAACCAATCAGAGCCAGGAGGCGGGTCTTAGCGCTGTCAATCGCTCTTGTCTATAAAATTCCATTAAAAATACATTCATGTTTGTCGCTGATGGTTGCTAATAGGTTTAAGCAGTACACACACTTTATCAAGCTGCTGTAAGTGACAAAGGTTACAATTGTGATGCAAACTGAAGTTTTTCAAAGTGGAGACAACGGGCCCCAGGAAGCTCTGGGAGGCCACAGAAAGCTGGAGGGAAGATGAGAAAAACAAAGAAAATGTAGTCAAATAAATATTTTGAGGACAAAATAATGCTCAAAATACTCAAATTTTTGAATATCTATAAATACAAACTCTAATCTGTTTTTCAGTTATAAGTGAAAATAATTTATTGCAATGCTATTTGCCATCCTCATTATTTGACTGCCTGTCAATTTCATTAGTCCACTTGCTTCACAAAACTAGCATAGCAAGCAGAAAACAACCTTGCAGCAGTCCTGCTGTTGAGGACAAAACATACAAAACATGCTAAGCATTCATGACCAAAATATGAAACTATGAGGCAGCATTCATGCTAAGTGAATGTGATAATTATTGTATTGTGAATGAAAGTGAAGAGGTGTCTTTACATATTTTGTAGCACTGTCTGCTGGTTTGAGAGCCGAAGGCCCGAAAAAGTTTAGGACTCCCTGATCCAAACCACAGTGAAATATGTAAAACAGTTTGCTGCTCAAGTTTTTCAAGAATCAGTGATTGCACCAAAAATGTAAGTACGGTAGACGCCGAGATGTTAACATCTTATTAGCAGCCACAAATAAAAGCTCCATTCAATGAACAACAGGGATCTTTCTCTTTGGCGTGCGGCCTGTGCAACCTGACGGGAACGCGGACAAATAATGACGGTGTTCCGTGCCTGCAGCGTGGAATGTGCGCTTTGTAAATTTGCAGTAGTAAATAGCCAACTTCAAGCCATTTCCAGCTGTCACAGTCAGCAGCAGCACGCCTGCTCTTAATCTGGTGGAGGAAGCGTTATCTGATGAAATGCTTTTAATTGTAGCTTCAGAGTTAATAGTTAGCGTTCCAAGCTACTTGGCGTAAAATTGTGATGCTGGGAGGGAAGGAGGTGTTGTGTTCCGCTAAACAAATGTTTGGAAAGTGAGGAGGTGCCCCAGCTTCAGACCCCCTGAGATTAATATCAGCATGTTGGGACTGAGTGAACCGGAAACCAAAGGGGGGGAAAAATAACCGCATGCCGTAAAGATGTGTTTCTTTTGCCTCTCAGTCCCGAGTCCAAGGCCTCACGGTTACCGAGTGTCCGCAGCCAGCACCAACGTGTTGGTGCACTTCCCCTCCAGCGGGGCCTAAACAAATAACCGTCTGCTCTTAATACAGCGTGAGAACCAGTGCTGGGAAACAACTACTGCAGGAGGAAAACCTGGAGTGGGATTATAATGCGGGCTGCTGTCATCAGACATCTTTTAATGTGCATTTCCCAGATTCCCCTGGATTAGGTGGAACACCATCACATAATTTATGTTAATTACGATTGCCGTGCCAATAATCTAACGTCACAATCCCGTTATGAAGGAGGATTAAGGTTACCGATGCCCTAAAAATCACACCAGATGTCTGTGCTACCTCGTGTTGCCTCTAGGTGTCTCTGTTGGTCACCTTTCATTAGACCAGGTTTGATGTAACCAGCAGAGAGGGGGGTATTACTTTGAGTCGATTAATAGAGCCATGACACAAACTGTGTGCAAAACACACAACTTTATGCTATGTATAAAAGTAACGACGGAATTATTTTTGGTATTGAAAGGGTCTGCTAGAACTGAATGTTGAATTTAGGGTCTGCACACGTTTTGTTTGAGGCACATAACACCGAGCAAAGTAAAGATCGCTGCTCAGGCAACGCCGGCCGCAGGGCGCAACAGATGTCTTGAGGGAGTTCCAACATCAAAATCAACCCTCTGAAACAAGCTCCAGGCCAAATCCAGCCCACTGCAGCTATTTCTGGGCCCACAGAAATAGAATGTCACAATAACAAGTTGCGTGCTTCATATTACTTTATCACTCAAATCAAATCAGTTTTTATTCGCATCGTGCCGAATTGCTTCAATGTTGAATGTTCATTTATTTTTAGAAGTGGTCATTGAACGCAACCATAGCCATAATATTTTAATAGTTTGTTAATAGTTAGTTTTGTGAATAGATTCTGCCACAACCGGTCCTCTAAGGACATTCATGATCGTGATGTGGCCCGAGAGGAAAATGAGTCTGACAGCCCTGTGCTGAAGTTTATGCTGCCACTTGAGGAGCTCGACATCCACTCCTGTTCTTATTTTAGATGTCATAGATGAGAAAATCTGCCTGTATTCAACATTTAGTAGCAGACAAAGACTGGAGTGCTCATACGACTCCAGACATGAAGCTTGGGCTCATGTATTAGTTGATTTTTTTTTTTTTTTTTAGCATTGCATGAATAAGTACGTTGTAGTGAAACAAATGCAAACCAAAAAGTACAAGTGGCAGAAGTAAAGAAAAGTCAAAGCCTGAAAACAACACAAAATGAAAGACATAAGGAATATCTCACAAAGAAGAGGGACCTACGTATATGTGTATATTCTATCATGCTTTTCTATGGTCAACAAAACTTTAACTTTATGAAAGCTATGTTCAAAAGCTAAAGCAGAAGTTATGATGGCAAGTTTATTATATTTTATAGGTCAGCATTGATACCCCACCCTGCTGCTTCTCCTATTTGGCACATTGTGCATGGAATGTTGCAGAAGTGTTTCGACCGAATAAAATCAAAGTCGTGGCAGTTTCTGTGCTGGCTTTTCTATCACAAGTCGCCATTTGAGAGGAAATGAACAATAAACGTTAAACGCTCAGTATGCTCGTAATATTGCTAACCTCGCTAAACCCAGATAGAAACTTATATTGTTACTCCTACTAGAAAACTGTCTTAACCACTATGGTAGTTGTCTTATATATTCACATGAGCAAAACCTATAAATGATCAGCCTCAGGTTGTGTGTTGAACCCTGGACATGATAACTAATGACTGACTGACCCAACATCTTCAGGTAAATTCTGTTCATTTAGACTGAATGATTGTTACATTTACAAACTAATATGGCTGGTTATAGTTAAAATCATTTCAATGGCTAATATTTAATGCCTTCCAAAATTTATTTCAGTGTAAAAAGGTCAATAGGTGCTTAACAAACTTACATTTTTAAAACCAATGAAGTTGTTGCAGCAAAGGTACAGTCATCCCTTATTTTCCATTTGTGGTAAAAAAATGACTTAACCCTGCACATCCCAATTAGCTCTGCAGTATTATCTGTCTCTTTAATGGCAGAGTTGCACTCTGCTATCCCTCATTAGGACCTTGGTGCCTCCTCAGCTGTGTGTTATAAAGAGCCTGGGCCAAGATAATCATCACTGTAACATGATCAGGAACTGCAAAAGGCTGATTTCAGGAGCTGAAATCAATTTGTAGACTTGGTGGAGTCCCCCTCTCCCCCTTCAAAAACGCCAATGTTCCAAAGAAGCTAAAGGGATGGTTGAAAGCACAGACTTATGAGCTTGGATTGTATTTTGGAGTGATCTGCACAGCGTTTAACCGGACATTGATGTCGCTCTCCTCTCCGTAAAGTGCCTTGCGAGGCCTTTTTGCTGCAGCTTGCGGACAAAAACCTAAACTGAGTCGAGAACCGTTTCCGTAACAAAAGCAGCAGAATTCCCACGGACAAATAAAATGCACTCAAGGGGATTACAGACGGATCAAAAATAAAGTGCTAATCGCGTA